GCTGCGCCCGAAAAGGGGCTCCAAGGGGGTCCCGCAGCCGCCGGGCCGGGGGTGCCCGTCCCCGGGTCCCCACTCCCCGCACCGACATTTTCCGTTTTCGCAGCTGTTTTTCCATCCCTGGGCGGGAGCTGCCGGAACAGGACACGCCGGATGGAGTTTAAACTTTTTTTTTTTTTTTAATTTTTAAACTTTTTTGTAATTCCCCCCCCCTCAGCGCGCCCGACAAACCGAGCGGACACTCAGGATTGGCATGAAATGAAACGGTGAAGCTCTGCTGAGATCAGAGCTCGGGTGCTGAGAGGGGACACAGATTAGTCCCACAAAGTAGGTGGAGGTCCGGGGATGAGGATTGCAAAAGCGTAAACCCCAGAAATGAGGCCTGGGTTTGAGCTGCCTCTGTTTATAGGCTCCCGTTTGGTCAGAAGGTCTCTTTTTGTTTAGGGTTCCCCCCTCGTTCAAACACAAGCTGGTTTTGGAAGCGCCCTGAGCAAACTCGGCTGCAAAAAAGGATCAGGGACCCGTCTCTGTTGGGCCTCTACTGGGACAAACCTGAAATAGTTCTAATTCTCCCCTAGTGAAGAAACATCCCTCCATTTTCGCACTTCTAAAGCCTAAAGACATTTGTTTCCTGGAGAGCGCCTAGAACTTTGCCTGGAACATGACAATGTTCTAGCGCCTCATCCCGAAGTAGACAGGTCTGTCCCCATCCTCCTCCCTGTGGCGATGGGGAACCGGCACTGGCAACGTCCTCCTGGAGCCCTGAACCTCCCGTCCCTCCACCATCACCCCAAACCACCTACTTGCAGAGATCAGGTGGGCACTCAGCAGAGGGACAGCAAAAGCACAACCCTGCAGCAGCAGCAGGGAGGAGTTTTATCCTGGGAGTTTCCAGCTAATTAAGGCACTTTGCTCTCAGCTGACTCCAGTAAACATCAACTCAACCAGCTAATGGTGGAAGGCACCAGCTCAGGACTGGAACTGCAGATGGCAGGTCTTCTCCTCAGAACTCAACAGACCTGACCCCCTTTGGCAGGTTTTAAGGAGAAAACAGGCAGGTTCTGCTTCCCCATGAGCTGAGTCGTCTTTGTACTGTGTGGGCTCACCCGGCCCCTGAGCACAGCCGCTGAGCAGAGCTACCAGGGTCATCCCAAACGTGAAGCCTCATCCTTAGAATTTAAACAAAGTCCCAATAATCGGTACGTGCACGCAGAGCTGCGAGGGGCTGCGCGTTAACCACGTCCGTGAGGTGCCTCGGCGGTCTGGCGGGAGGAGACACTGCCAGGGGAGCCGTGAAGCTCTTGGCGCGGACCAGGCTGGTGCTGGGGCGCAATTTAAGGGTGAATCCAACGTTACAGGACTGGAGCAGGGGATGGTCCACTGCCAGCGGGTTAAACATCCCATTTCTACACTTTTTTTTTTACAGTAACCGCATACTTTTTGACAAGCCAAGTCTGTCCATCTCCGTCTGAGCTCTCCGCTCTGGGATGATGAGGGTCAGGACTGTGTGCCTGAGCTGCAGAGGGTGAAGCCCATGGACTCCCCAAAGCCCCGGGGCAGAGCCTGGTGCCACCCTCAGCACCACCGCCAGCCCCAGGACCACCAGTGGCTGCTGTTCCCGCGGGGCAGGACATTGGTACCAGCCTCAGGGCAGAGTTGGCCCCTGGCAGTGAAATTCCAGCATACAAGGGACTGATGTTGTCCGGTGTCAGCGCTGGTCACCCACAGTCCGAGGGGAACAGGGACAGAAGGCAGCCAGCAGAATGAAGAATGGATTGGACTGCACCTTGCAAAGAAAAAGAGCTTTTTAAACTTAAAACCAAATGCTAATGAAAACAAGAGACCAGAGGATGTTTTCTAACACCGAAACCCCTGGGGCTCAAGCCCCTCTTTTCAACAGAAGCGAGAAGGGTTGAAAACCCAACTGCTTGGAAAGAGCTCAACCTCAGAACTCACCAGCTGCCTAAAAGCCCTGAGGGGAGCATGCTTTGTGTAGTAACTTCGAGTAAGAACTGCTTTAGGTGGAACCTCGGGGGTGGCACATCCCAAAGTGGACAGGTCTGTCCCCATCCTCCTCCCTGTGGCGATGGGGAACCGGCACTGGCAACGTCCTCCTGGAGCCCTGAACCTCCCGTCCCTCCACCATCACCCCAATGGAGGGGGGTAGCTCAGCCCACCTCCAGCACCCCCCGACGGCCCCCCGCCCCCTCTAGTCCCCCACCACAGACGCCCCAGGCGCCGTGGCTGCAGGGTCCAGTTCTCATTCAATAATTAATATCGGTCAGAATTTAAACTTGGGTTTAAAGCACATCGTGCACATCAGGGACTTGCGTGCCTGAAACGCCTGTATCCTCCCGTGGAGCCCTGAGTGCCGTCGGGGAGCTGGGCTTACGCTGGCAGCAAAATTAATGTTTTGTTGTTGGTTTTTAAGTACCGCAGCTTCGCCCAACAACTCAGGACTGAAAGCCACAACAGCACTGACGCATCCTAAAGCAAACCAGGAACAATCAGAGATGACCTGTCCTGAAAATTTGCCCTTTGACAGCCAGATGGGCAAAGAGGGCTCACTTCATTTCAGAGAAACACACCACTCGTTAGAGCAACATCCAAATCAATATAGTGCCTCAGATCTCGCCACTCTTTTCCAGAGTAACACAATGACGTTAGAGTTGGGTGTACCACAAAAGGCACAAGATGATTGAAGAGAACTTGGGTTTATCACCACTTTCCTGCTACCTTTTGTGGCGATCTCCAGCAAAGCCTGGTGCCCTGCCTGCTACAGCCCACCCTTCGTGACTTCTGTGGAGCTTTGGGCCAGTGGGGCTGTGGGGAGAAGGGCCTCAGGAGGCTCACGTGCTCTTCTCTCCATTCTGTGTGTAAAGCAGGTGTTCCTACAAGTACCATGGAAAAAAAATAGGGAATTGGCAGCTGCTGCTCCTTCCTCCACTGATGAAAACCCCCCAACCCCAACACATGGGCATAAAACGTGACTCTCAACCTCTGATCACAACCTGTAGCCAGATCAGCAGGTCGTCTTTCCTTCCTGCCACTGCAGCGCAGCAGAAACCTTTTCACCTCCACCACAGCACCGTGGGACTTCCTTCAGCCCAAGCAGCTGGGGAGCCTGAGGTTCGTGAGCCACCCCAGGGGAATGCAGCCAAGCAGAAAATGCAGCCCAGAATAGGCGCGTGTGTCACTAAAACTGCATTTGAGAGAAAAAAAACAAGTCACAGAGGAAAAAAAGGTGTGACACAGTGAC